TTAAGTGCTCTTCAAGCTTTATTGGTCAAAAGTTTAGCTATTGTTTTACAAAATAGGATTTAATTGACTGTTTAAAATGTCATAACGTTTTTTCCAATTGCCATAGAGCCACCATTCAAAGCTATATGGAATGTACTTTATGAAAGTTCACTATTTTGAGATCTTCTATATTCAGAATATTTTGTAATTCTCCCAGCTTTGTCTTTTGACAAAAGATGCTTGAAATTCCCTTTTTTTAATAATCACTTTTGTTCAAAATTCTAATATTTATGAAATATTTTGCACCCTGATCTGTAAAGTTATTGTCATTAGTAACTTAAAACAATTTAAACTGTTAGTTATCGCGCATCAAAAATTTTCTTGTCATGAAATTGTAAACTTAAGACAAAATGGATAGTTGCATGTATTTTTGTATAGATGAATGAAATCTTTAATGAAACTTGTGTGCACTTAGAGAAAATGGTAGAAACAGGCTGTTGTAGTTAATATGATCTATTTTTACATAATACAGCATAGAATATAGTTTCATTGTATAAAGTGTAAATTGTCACCTTTATAGCTTTTTTTTTCTGTAATAGAAGAGAGAACATAGGTTCATCTATGTGTTATTGAAAATTTTTTGTACTTTATACCATTTAAACCTTCTCTTTTCATTCTCTCGTTATATGTTTTAATAGACACTATATATTTTGTGTAGAATGTTCAGTTCTACTTCCCTTCTTGTGGCACAATCCCGCCTCCTGTCATCATGGTGCAACATGTGTCTTTTCGATACACAGAGAATGGGGTATGTAAGTCACTTTCTAAAGTAGCCATTATTATTCTTTCATTTCTAGTGGTATGATAAAAACTACTGTTTTTGTATTATAAAAATAAAATGAGAAGTAGCATTATAGTGAGAACTGTATTGACTACATTCTATTTTCCCAAAGATTGTAATGTCATAAAGAATTGATACAACAACAAAAATATTTTTATTATATTATTTTAAATACTTAATCTTATTATGTTACTCCAAGCTCAACTATGAGCTAGCATATTGAGTTTAGAGCACACATAATATACTTTTAGAGAAATTGGATTTTTAATATTTTTTAATTCAGAATTGTCACAACTTTGAAATTTTAAAGTTTTTCAAACTAAACTTGAATTCATTCATACTATTTTGCTATCAGTCAGTAGAATTGGATGCATTTTGATTCAGCTTCTATTGATTAACTTTGAACTCTCCCATCATTTATACTTCATTGAAAGTATTTGTTTACTGGCTTTTAAATTATCTTAGGTGGACTTGAGGATATGTACAAATAATTATTGTAGCCAGTTTTTGTTTCTGAATTATATGTTAAGTAAAAATAAATGATAAAGTGTCACATAATATTATGTCAAAATCTAGTTCAGATTGTATTTTAAACTTATGGCACCAGTTGAATTTTAATTAATGGAGTTAAGGCAGTGATTTTGCAGATTGGGTATTATTTTTCAAAAATAAATGACTTGTACTACTTGAATATCAAAAACCAAATATGTATATTTTATATGAAGCCATGGATTTACAAGGATCTAGAGTTTGGGATTGATCTTGATACAAGGGTAGCTTTGGTTGGACCAAATGGTGCAGGCAAATCAACACTTCTGAAACTACTTTGTGGTGAAGTATGTTGGTTCTAATGTATTGTGTTAATTTGTAATTATAGTTTGAAAAACAACATTTTCCTTAAAAATCAAGCAGACATTAATAAAAAAAATATTTATTAATCTTAAAGAAATTAGAAATTGTAACTAATATAAATTATTTTACACTAGATTGAGTAGTGTTAGAATATTGTATTATTATTATTGAATGGTACAAGAAAAATATTTATACATTATTATAATGTCAAAATTAATGACTAAGTATTATTAATGATTTTTTTTGTCAGTTTTAGCTATAAATATTATGCAAGTACCATTGAAGCAAATCATGTCCCAAAAAGTGAGTCATTATGTTGATCTTCATGTTATGGTTAATAATGAATCATCAAAATAGAACTTGCACTTGTTTCTTAAGCGTTTTACTGTTAAAGTTGTATGAAAAGACTGTAAAGTATGCTAGATTTTTTAGTGATAGGCATCTCATTCTACAACATTGCTGTTTCACCAGCTGCAACATTGAAGGGTGTAATGAGCCTGCATTTTTTTCTTTTACCATTTCAACTTGACAAGCATTGAATGTAAGTTATTGCTTTCTTTGAATTTGAATTACTACATGGTGCTCTATAATATCAAAAGTGCATCTGAGAAATAACTACATGGCTATATTCCTTTTTTTCATTTCTTAAGTAAAAAAAAGTTGTTGTTCCCCCATTGTTGACCATTGACAGTGTGGACATTGTAAAACGGTGTTTTGCTTCTAAGCCATTTATTGAAAGTTTTGACAGGAATCTCATGCTTTTTTCTTGTATCTAGTATCAAAATTAGAAGAGTGTTTGCATACACAACTTATGTAGCCTACTTTTCATCTGTTTTATTACTTAACTAGGAATTCTGACCTTTCATCTTTGACTTTGAAGGCAATAAATCTACAAATAAATCCCTGGTTAAAGCTTAGGTTATAAGCTCTAAGTTTAAGTATTTTAAATTTTTTTTTAGTTGGGATCAGGATTAAATTTTTAATCATAAGTCATATGAGCATGTCATAGTTTTGTGACTTGCACATTTCATATATGTACATACATGGAATTTATTGGTTTGTTTGTATTTATGGCAAAAGAAAGCATTCATCAAACACTGAAATTTCGTTTAATAAAACCCGATTCAGGTTCAAAATAGCAAATGTTTATTTCTAATTTCATGTATGGAAATATACTTTTGGAATTCAAGTTTAAAATGACTGACTGGATATTATGAAGGATCTTATTTAGTAAGGTGGTCCAAAAAGTATTCATTGAAACATTAAAGGAAAGTTAAGAGATTGTGAAATAGTTTGAGATTAGCTGTTCATATGATTCTTTTTTTCTCTTGTTAGCTGATTCCTTCGGATGGATTGATCAGAAAACATTCTCACTTGAGAATAGCACGTTACCATCAGGTAAGCAATGCTGATCAAAAAACATTCCCACCTTAAAATAATAGGTTACCATCAGGTTATTAGTTTTTATCAGGAAAACTTACCCACCTGTTCTTGCATTTTATTATCATCCAATTTAAAAATAGCACATCACCATCAAATAAGCATTGTTCATCAAAAAACATTCCACTTGTTATTAACATTTTACTATTAGATTAGCATTGTTGATTAACCCTGTGACTACTGGTTCACTCTTTAAATTCCTTTCTGCACATCTCACAAAATGCTACTTGGTTACATAAAAATTTAATTAAAACACTTTACTATCAATGTATTTTAATGAAATTTCATAAAATTTTAAAGGGATGAAATAAATCTCATTAGCCCATCAAGGATGTCCCTTCCAGCTCCCAACTATAACTGTCCCTTACTACTCATGTACTCATCCAATCTTTTTGTGAACTCAGTTAAATTTTATGCCTTCGCCACTCTTGAAGGCAGCTCATTCCATAAGCCAACCACCCTGTTTGAAAAGTAATAGTGTCTATACTGCAAACAACTCCTACGCTGCCAAAGTTTGAATTTATGCCCCTTGTCCTATTGTTTTCACTGCTAAATGTAAAAAAATTTGATGGATCTATATTATC